TAGTGTGTGTGTGTGTGTGTACTTGTGGAGGGGGGGCGGCTGGTTTACGGGATGCGGTGGAGGGGAAAGGGGGGAGATGATGGGGATGAGGGGATGGGTTCCGGCAGGGCAGGGCCTCGAGAGGGCCTGGCGGCTGGAAAGACGGCGCGGGGCGCACGCGAAAGGCCCTGGGGCTGCCCGAGCGCGGTCAACCGCCCGGCTTCCTCAGACGCAACAGCACGTGGCACCGCGTGGAGCTGGGGCCGAGGGCTTGCAACGGTAGGGGGGCGCGGGGGCGCGCAAGAGCCGCTCCGCGTTTCACCCTCCAGGCCGCTGCTTTCACGAGGCGGCCGAGGCGGGCGTGGTGGCGCAGCTGCGCTCTCCCGCCGCTGTGCTCAGCGGTTCGCAGCCTCGCTACGGTAGGTTCGTGCGGCGTCAACTCGCGCACACACTTTTGACACCGCGTCGATCGTTCAACCTTGAGTCGATCGCGGTCCCGATCGTTCAAGGTTGAATTCTGTCTGGTCCAGCGGCGTTGCCGTGTCAATCGGTGCTTCCGCGTCGCAGAATTCAGCCTTGAACGCCTTCGCTGGCGTCGCCGGCGCGCCAACGCCGTACGAACCTGCTGCAGCTAGGGCGGAGGGCCTCCGTCGTGAGCGGGAAACGTCTCCGCCTCCACGCCCTCTCGGCCTCAGACTCCTGAGCCGCATACCCCCACGGCTGTGGGGCAGCCTCTGCGCAGAGACGCCACGCGCGGAGCGCACCCACGGGATCGCGCCTCGGCATCCAGACGAGGGAACGACAGGCACGCGTCGTGACGACCTGGGCGCCAGATCGCTCCATGTTGGCCGATTCTGAGCGGCTGGAGGCAACGCGCTGACGGGCTCCGAGCGGCAGCGAGTCATCGTGGGAAGGCTTCGGCTGCTCGCGACAGCCCCCCAGATTTTAAGTTCGAGGTTTTCGGGCGTTTTCTCAGTTTCTTGGTGGTTTTCTGCCCTCGGGTTGCTTTCCAGCGGCTGCGCCTCGCCGAGGGCGCTCGGCGGGTGCCCGGATCGTCCCGAACGGCCACCGGAGAGCCGATTTGTGAGCCAGAGCACGAATTCGGCGGCGCGCCCCAGGGGGAAAGTGATAGAAAGAGAAGGCATTCCCAGAAGGCGGCAGGGCTTCTCATAAGCCCCTCGGCCGACTGAGACATGTTGTGTCCTCTGGGAAGGCTTCGAAAACTTCGCAGAAGGTCGCGGGACTTACGGGCCTTCTGAGAAGGCTCGCCCCTTCTCACTTCCCCCCCCGGCTGGCCGCCGGCAGAATACTCGGGGCGGCTGTTGTGGCCACTGCCGCCTGGAGGGGCTAGCTGTTCGCAGCCCGAGCCCTTACAATGTCATGGATGGACACCTGAGGGATGGGGGCCCAAGGATAGGAAGGGATCCACGGGCGGAGCTACGTTGATACGTCGCAGCGCGGCAGAGGCAGTCCGCACGCGCGTCCAGGCAACCTGGGCTACGGAGTTGCAAATCGTCCCGCATGCAAGAGAGGAAAAAAGACGAGGAGCGTCCGCAGAGACAGGAGGGAAAAGAAAGCGCACTCAGGCGGCGAGGCTCTCGTGCTTCGGACTCCTCGTGCATTTACGTTGTTTGAGGCACCTCGTGCTTAGGACCCCTCCCTCAGGACCCCATCTTTGAACCGCCGCATTGGTGCTCCTTCTTCCGGAGGTAGGAAAGGGCTGTGGCATAGAGGGGTATGGTGCCAATCGTGGAAATGGCGATGCTGTCTGCGATAAATAACGTCGCCAGATTCCCATTTGCATGGAATTAACACCACACCCCTTTATACTTTATACCATACCCCTTTCCCATCTCCAGACTTCTCCCTCCCGAATGACCACCTGGGCAGGCGCAGAGCACGGCGCTGGGGACGGGGGAGCGGGCGAGAGCCAGACCTGCGGGCTCGTCTGCCCCCTTAGCCAGGGGCGCCCAACTTCGCGCTCCGCGCTGCGCGAAGCGCGAACGACTTCGCGCCCCCGAGGGCGCTCTTGCTCACCCTCCCCCCTTCCCCCCCCCGGCCCCGTGCCCCTCGGCGTCATGCCCGGGGCGGGGGAAGTGTGAAGGGCCGGGCCTTCTCACAAGGATCGGCAGACCCCTGGCCCTCCGAGAGGTTTCCTGAGCCTTCCCCGAAGACGCGGATAACTTCTCCGAGGGCACGAAGAAGGCTTCTGAGAAGCCCCGCCGCCTTCTGCGAAGGCCTACTCCGTCTCACTTCCCCCCCTCGCTCGCCGCCGAGTCTGGGCCTCAATAGGTCCTCCGAGTGGCCCGAGCCAGTCTCAGAACAACCTGGCGCCGCCACGCCCCTGAGAAGCCCCGCCGCCTTCTGAGAAGGCCTTATCCTTCTCACTTCCCCCCCCCCCGCTCGCCGCCGACCCGTCCCCCTCCCCCGGGCCCGCGCCCCTCCTCGGAGCCCCACCCCCCGCCCTCCCAGCACGCCGGCGGCGGCAAAGGCGACGAAGGCGGCGAAGGCGACAACGACGACGACGACGACGATGACGACGACCAGGAAACACTTGCTCCTCGGACTGGGCACTTCACCCCAGCTGTGCCTGAACATAAACAATGGCGGACATGCAGCGGGAAGCGAGCAGCAGAGTGGACGGGGAAAAAACCTAGGGGGGGAAAAACAGAACACGAAGAGGAGAAATAATAAGACAACGATGGGAACCTGCACGGCTGGAACGTACTATCGCTGGGGGTCAAAAATGCAATCAATGCAATCCAACCCTCACTCTTTCGACCTCCCGGCCGATCATGCAATCTGGGGAAACCATTCAACGCGAATCCAGCGGTGGCGACGAGGGACCTCCAGGAGGCGGGAAGGGTAGCGAGGGAAGGGTAGCGGCATGGGAACCTCCTCCTCCGAAGCACACGCTGGCCAGCGAGAAGTGCACCACTGATGGACACGCCCCGAGACGACGACGGTGGCCACAGCGACGAGCCCGCGCCCCGCTGCGCGGGGCGGAGGGTGGATCCGCAGGGCAGCGCATCCTGTGGCAACATCGTCGTCGTCGTCGTCGTCGTCGTCGTCGTCGTCGTCGTCGTCGTCGTCGTCGTCTGACGTCGTCGCCGCTTCCTTTGAGGGATAAACGACGCCCCTACCCTGGCTTACAAGTGCGTAGTCTGTAGACCTCCTGCGAGCTCCGAAAGGCCAGAGCAACACCAGGACGCCGCGCGACACGCGCGATACGCAGGGCTTACCCTGATAGCCCACAGGAGGTTCAGCGCACAGCGCCTCGTTGACAAGGGCAGGGGCGTGTCCAATGCCCCCGCCCCCTCCTCCTCCCTCGAGCCCCTGCGTGCGCGAGGTCCCTTCGTCGGTGCCGTCGCCGCTGGCAGAGACGGCCCCGCCTCGCCGCCCAGCACCACCCCGCCCGGCGTCTTGGCCATGGCCGCCGCGGGCGGAGCGCGGAGGGGCGGCGCCCAGCCCGGGGGCTCGCGGCCTCGCGGCGCCTCGCGGCTTCGCGGCCCCGCGGGGCGCGCTCCGCCGCGGGGCGGCCTCGCGGCCTCGCCGCCGCTGCGGCTTCCGCCTCCTCGCCTTCGTCCTCGTCCTCGTCCTCGTCCTCGTCCTCGTCGTCGTCGTCGTCGTCGTCGTCGTCGTCGTCGTCGTCGTCGTCCTCGTCCTCGTCGGGGCCAGATCGGGTCGGGACACGTCGGGGACCTCTGAGATCCAGCCGTTCCTGAGGACGTTATCGGGCGCCGCGGCCTCCTCAGAGCGGGCCAGGACGCTCTGAAAGCGTTTTGGGGCGCTCTGGAACGATTTCCCCCTGTCCTGGCGCCGCCCGACTTCTGCAAATTCTGTTCTCCAAGATCGGTTCCGAAGACAAGGGACCACCACCAGCTACGCAACCGTTCCACCCTAGCCACCAGATGGGCATCACAGGGGAAAAGCTATGTTTGGCTGAGGATCAGTCCGTCCTGAGTAGTGACTGGACCTGCTGAGCCGCATGGCTTTTCTGAGCTTGGGCCTGCCAGAAACAGCTTAGGACACCTACCTGGGCCATCATATACAGCCCATGTCCAAAAAACAGTCCCAGCGATGCTATCGAGAGCTCCCTGAACCATGTCAAGGAAAAAACACGAGGTCGGATATTATCGGGGAGACGTAAGACTCGGATTCCGGGGACTCGGGTTGGCCTGACGGGGCCGTCAGGAAAATGACGAGACCTAGTCTGAAATTTGACGCGAGCTCCCGCTGCAAGCATCCTACGAAAACTGGGCCGGCAGAATTTATGGCGGGCTCCAGGAGGCCCAAAATGGCGAAAGCGACGCAAGAATAGCGGCACGTACCAAGACATGCGACGCCCTGACTTTGCCATGCGCGGCCCCCGAAGTCCCGACCCCTTCCCCAGGGCCGGTCTTTCATCCCGAGCCGTTTCCCACGGCACTGAAGCCCGGCGAGGGTCCCCAGAGGCCGAAACTGGCAACAAACCACCAGTATTTTTCTGTCCACGGCGTGAGCATGTCTGGGCATCTCGGGGCCTCCTAGATGGGGTTTCAAGTAGATGGGGTCGGAGTCTCGCTCCGAGTGCCGAGGCACCGCCGAAGCACCGCCGACGAATCGCCGATGCTTCGCCGACACATCGGTGACGTCGGCGGTGCTTCGGCGACGTCGGCGTGAAAAAACGGGCTCCACGTCGAGCCGTGTCGCCGATGCATCTGCGATGTGACGCGATCATCCCACCCCATCTACTCTAGCCCCATCTGGAAGGCCTAGAACATCTCGGGGTCGCAGTGACCCGAGTCAATGCAAACCCGGGTCAGTCAGGCCGTGCAGGATCCTGCGCGCAAGCTTGGGCCAATGCACCCCTGGCTCTGCAAAATCCTGCAAGATCCGGCGCCCTGGCTGACCCCCGTGTGCATTGACCCTCGTCTCAAGGCTCCCGAATATCGATCCCTCGTCCTCCCCCCTCGGGACCCTGCGCGCTCCCCGCGCAGGCCAAACCGAGCGCGCGCGCGCCACGCGCACGCGCGCAGGCTTCACAGGCGGCTGCTGGTCCCGACTGCGAGGGCGCCGCGGAGGCGGCCGAGCAGCTCCGGGCCTGGGCGCTGCCGCGCGGCGGGGCCGCGCCGGGCGGCCGGCGGCGGCGTCGGCGGCGGCTGGCGGCCGGAGGCTGCTGCTGCTGCTGCTGCTGCTCCTCCATCTCCTTCTCCTGGGCCACGAGTAGGACGTGATTATGGGAGGGGCGCCATCCCAAATCAGGGGCTCCAGTGTAGAAGTGTCATCAGGGTGCCAACAAGAGCCCGTTGTTCTACCCTGCGACAGGTGTTCTCGGCTGAACAAGATCCCCCGCCAACTCCACCTTTTTTAACGTTGCGCTAACTCAAGGACGGAGCCTAACGCGATAGGATGCAAGGAACGAAGACGTATCGAATACCGATTTAGGCCGATAACAAACAAGTTAAGCCTGGCGGACGCAGCCGAGACAGTAAGGCGAAAATGATTGAAAATAGTAAGAGGGCCCCGAGGGGCATAGAGTACGCGCCCGCCAGGTCTCAGTTCTGAGTGGGGAAGAGGACCATCAACATACAGAAAGGTCTCCCCTTCCAACTCCTCCTGCTCCTCTTCCACCTCCTCCACGTGTCCTGTGCCTCCTGGCCGGCGGCGGCGGCTGGTGCCCGCCTGATCCTTCTCCGCCTGCACCTCCTCCTCCTGCTCCTCCAAGTGTCATTTGCCTCCTTCTCCGAACCCCCCTCCTCCTCCTCCTCCTCCTCCTCCTCCTCCTCCTCCTCCTCCTCCTCCTCCTCCTCCTCCTCCTCCTCCTCCATGCATCATCCCCCTCCTCCACTTCGACGCTCGAAGCGGACGGCCGGTCTCTCAATATCCTCCTCCATTTCTCCTCCTCCTCCTCCTCCTCCTTTTCTCTTCCTCCTCCTCCTCCTCCTTCTCCTCGTCCTCGTCCTGGTTCTCGTCGTCCTCCTCCTCCTCATCCTCCTCTTCCGCCTCGTCCTCCTCCTCGTCCCCTCCTCCTCCTCCTCCTCCTCCTCCTCCTCCTCCCTTTCTTCCTCCTTCTCCTCCTCCTCCTCCTCAACCTCCTCCTCCTCCTCCTTCTCGGCCTCTCCTCCTCCTTCTCCTCCTCCTCCTCCTCCTCCTCTCCTCCTCCTCCTCCCTGTCCTCCTCCTCCTCCTCTCCTCCTCCCTCCTCCTCCTCCTCCTCTCCTCCTCCTCCCCCGCCTCCCTCCCGTCCTCCTCCTCCAACTTCTCCACCTCCTCCTCCTCCTCCTCCTCCTTCTCCTCCCCCCGCGCCCCCCTCCGCCAGTCCTAGGAAAGGCGCCACCGCGCCGTCCGCGAAGAGGGTCAGGTGGGCACACGTCAGGCCTGGGATGGAGGGGGAGGGGCGAGGGGCGGAGCTGAATCGGACGGAGTGCGCTGGGGCGGCAGAGTTGCCTTGTGTGCTCTGCCCCCTCCCTTTCCCCTCTCCATCCTCATCCTCCTCACTCTTCGTCCTCCCTCCTGTTCCATCTTTGTCCTCCCTCCTCCTCTTCGCACCCCTCCTCCTCCTCCTCCTCCTCCTCCTCCTCCTTCTCCTCGCCGCTTTCTTGTTTCCTCCCCGTCCTCCTTCTCCTCCTCCCCCGTACTTCCTTCTCCGTCTCAAAACTGAGAGCGCGGCGGCAGCAAAACTAGTTCGTGAACCATATGTCTGTGTGTTAATGTTGTATATCGTTATTTATGTGTCTGTCTTTCTTTGTTTTCTGCGCTCTCTCTCTCTCTCTCTCTCGCTCCCTCTGCATGTATATATATATATATATATACACAAGTACGTGTGTATCTCTCTATATATATACATATCTATTTGCATAAATACATATATATGTATATATATATGTATGATCTCCTCAGGACTCTGGTATTGTACGATTATTCTAGGGGCTGGGTCCCCAACATCCCAAATTTCCTATGCGTTCCCACGCGCTCTTGGGCTGCCGCATGACTTTGCAGACGCCAGAGGGCCCCAAGACTGGCCAAGAGGGCCCCAGAAAGCGCCCAAGAGGGTCCAAGAGGCCTCCAAGAAAGCCCAGGAGCGATCCAAGACGCCTGAGATGGCCCCAAGACGGCCCTAAGAGGCCCCAACTAAGCCCCAACAGCGCTCCAAGAGGAGCCCCAAGAGGGCCCAAAGAGGCACAAATCATCGATGTCCCTTGTGCGTTTCTATGGTTTCCGCGTTCTCGCGCTTTTGGGCTTCCGACGCTCCAAGATGGCCCCAGAGGCTCCCAGGACCGCCCCAAGACGGCCCAAGAGGCCCCCCAAAGGGCCCAAAGGCGGTCCAAGAGGGCCTAAAAACCGGCCGAAGAGGCGCCAAAGATGGCCCCAAGAGGGCCCCAAGACGGCCCCAAGAGGAGCCCAAGAGGAGGGACACGAACCGACGATTCGAGCCTTCCGCCTAAAGAGGCCCCCAAGCAAGCCCAAGAGGTCCCTTAGAGTCTAGAGGCCCCACGGGGCCCCCAATAGGCCCAAAAAGAAGCCCCAAGAGGCCCCCAAGACCCCAAGAGGCTTCAAACTGCCTCCAAGAGGCCTCACACGATCTCCAAAACGAACATCCAAGAGGCCTCGAGCCGACAACTCAGGTACGGTGGCGGGATGGGCCAACGGCCACTAGACATGGACCGGCACGGGAACGGAAAGAGCGGCACCAGGAACGGAAAGGCCCGAGATGGCTCACGGCACCCTTCGCTCTTGGAAGCCTTGGTGGTAAGACCTTGTTACGTCACCACTCTCTATTGGGAGCCCTGGTGTTCAAAGACTTTGACGTTGCCGCTCGCTCCTGGGAGCCTTGGTGTTGAGAGTTGTTTACGTCACCGCGCTCTGGGGAGCCTTGGTGTTCAGAGCTTGTTGCGTCACCGCTCGCTGGGGAACCATGGTGTTCCTTAGCGTCTCTGGGGCTTATTGGGAATCTATTGGGGGCCCTTTTGGACCGTTTTGGGACTCTTGGGCCGTCTTTGGGCCAGCCCAGTCCCTATACCCAAGCAGCCCAAACCCCATACCGCATCTTCGGGCCCGATTGGGAGCCTCTTGGGGCTCTTTTGGGGCCGTCTGGGAGCCCTCTTGGGCCGTCTTGGGGCCCTCTTGGGCCGTCTGGGGGCCATCTTGGACAGTTTTTGGCTCCTTTGGGGGGTCTCTGGGGCCGTCTTGGGACGATCTTTGGGACCTCTTGGGCCGTCTTGGGCTCGTCTGGGGGCCCTCTTGGACCGTTTTGGGCCCCTTTGGGGCGCCTCTGGGGCTGTCTTGGGGCGATCTTTGGAGCCTCTTGGGCCGTTGGGGGGACTGAAAAGGGGAGAACCCGACGAAAACTGCAGAAACCATAAGGGAATCAAGGTGTTTGGCCTCCTGAGGCCCTCTCGAGGGCCCTCTTGGAGCCTCTGGAGCCGTCTCGATGCTCTCGTGCACCGTCTGGCGGCCATCTGAAGCTCTCTTGGGGCCGTCTCGGGGCCCTCTGAAGCCGTTGTGGAGCCCAATGGGGCCGTCTTGGGGCCCTCTAGCCAGGTCACCCGAAAAAATACAAAGAAACAGACCACGGGAGCCGCCTGGGAGCCGCTTCACTCGAAAAAAAACCAGGGAAACGCAGCCATTAGACCTTTCTCTTCGGCCTTGCCCCCTCCCCCGGACCCTCTCCCTACAAGAGCTTCGCCCCTTACGAAACGTCTCTCGCTCGTACCTCGCTCATTCTGTCACCTGGGCCGGCACGGGAACGGAAAGAACGCTGCAGGAACTTGCCCGAGATGGCTCATGGCACCCTTCGCTCTTGGGAGCCTTGACGTGGAGAGCTTGTTGCGGCATTGTTGCGTCACCGCTCTGGAGCCCTGGTGTTCTCAGAATTTTGCGTTGCCGCTCCCTCTTGGGTGCCTTGCTGTTAAGAGCTGTTTACGTCACCGCGCTCTTGGGAGCCTCGCTTTAAGAGCTTGTTGCGTCACCGCTCTCTGTTGGGAGCCCTGGTGTTCACATAATCGACTCCGACTCCAGAGGCCCAGAAAGACGAAGAACTGGTCGTCGCTATGTATTATAACGCCTCGATCTGAAGGTCAGGATCTGTCAACATCGAATCGGCAAATCGGATCGAATCGAAATGAGTATCAGATCGGGCTGCATCGGCACGGAGCCGACCGATATCGAATCGGATCCGCTGCGCCAGGATGCACAACAACGCCATGCAAATCTCGGGCCACATCCGATCGTCGGAGTATCAAAATCAAATCGGATCGGGCCAACTGGAATCGACATCGAATCGGATCGATCGAATCGAAATGGACCCTGAAAATTCTCGCCGTACGGAAAATTCGTGCGGCGTCGGCGCGCGCAACGGTTTATGACACCGCGTCGATCCTTCAACCTTGCACCGACAGCGGCCCCGATCGTTCAAGGTCGAATTCCGCCGGGTCCTGTAGCGTTACAGAATCCCTCCGTGCCTTCGCGTCGTTCTATCATGCGGAGTTCCATCTTTAACGCCTTCGCCGGCGTCGCCGGCGCGCCATCGCCGCCTGATCCTCCCGTGCCCGTCCCGATCGTCCCGAGCAGGTGGCAAGGGGCGGCGGCCTGCCACCACGGCCTCCCCCAGCGGCCAGCCAGCCGCCCGGGCGGCCGCCGTGCCGCCCACGAGCGCGTCGCCGGCTCCTCCGCGGCGCCGTCATCGCCGCCGTGCTGCCCCGCCTCCTCCTCCTCCTCCTCCTCCATTCCCAAACAGCGCCAAGAAGCATGACGTTACCGGACCCCTCTCCCCCCCCCTCCGAGATCCGACGTAGCGAACAAACTTCGGCAGCGCGAAAAATCACAACTGCAGCCCTATATCCTGTATCCCATCGTTCTGCAGCAATTTTTTGAGTCAGATCGATATGTGAGGGTCACGTGGCCCGAAACCAACCCAAATCGCACGCTGCGAACAAATGCAGAGCCAGGATCTCAGGACCCCCCCCCGCCTACTCACGCTCGTTATCGCCCGGGGATGCAAACTATGGTCTCTTCTTTCCGCGTCTGGACTGTACTCCTGTGAGGGGCAGCGATCGGGGGGGACTGGCAAAGGGTGGAAACATCGACCTAGAATCGGAGACACATCGCCGATGTATCGGCGAAAGGCCCCCGATGGGGTGGGGCTCTCAGACTCCCATCGGTGATCAATGGGCGATTGTGGATCGGGGGTCGATGCATTCCTCCCTGAGCCTGGTGCGGTTTGAAACTATCCAGACACCCCTGGAATGCCCTCGGCGAAGCCAGCCGCTGGAAGGCACCCGAGGCAGGACAACCTCCAGGAGCCGACGAAAACACCCGAAAACCTCGACGATGCATCCCCCCCCGCTGGAGCCCCCTGGCGGCGCCTCCGGCGTCGCCACTGGCGCGCTCCGCGCGCCAAGGAGGGGGACCCAGCGCCGATCCAAAAAGTCTGCGAGGACCTCCGGAAGTTGATGGTTCAAACTCTCCCTTTCGCGGCAGCTTGGACTAGGCAAGACGGGCAGGACAAGGACAAAATCGGACAAGACCAAATCGGGAATCTCTGAGATACGGCAATTCTGGGAAACGTAGCGGGCGCCGCGTCCTTCTCAGAGCGCTCCGGAACGCTCTGAGAGCGCTCTGGAGCTCTGAGGGCGTTATGGAAGGATTTATCTCTGTTCTAGCCTCCCGAACGCTCGCGGCAGCTTGGACAAGTCCCTAGTTAATTGGGAAATCACTGTTGGTTAGAGGCGACCGGCGATAGGCCCCCGATAGCAAATCCGCACCTCCCTGGGCGGGGTGGGGCTATCAAACCCCCCTCGGCGATCATTGGGCGATTGGGGGTCGATGCATCCCCCCCTATGCCTATCCCCCCCAATTATCGTTGCCCCTGACGGCGGCACTCCGGGCGACGACCACCCGGGGCGGAGGGCTTCTGAGAAGTTCCGCCGCCTTCCGAGAAGGCCTTCTCCTTCTCACTTGCCCCCTCGGGGCTCGCCGCCGAGAGGGGCAGGGCAGCGGCATCGGTGCGTCTTGCTCTTCTGAGTGCGCCGATGTCGGGGCCTGCGGCGGCGCTGGCAGCGGCACTGGGCGACGACGACCCGGGCCGGGGGGCGGGCGCGCGCTCCAGTGACGTCGCGCACGCTCGCCAGAGGCCTCAGCAGCCGGTACCGGAGGCACCTCCGCGCCCCGGGGCGGAACCTCCTCGATCCTCCTCCTCGCTCCTCCTCCTCCTCCTCCTGCAAAACCCCGAGGAGGGTTCTGCACGGGAGCCTGGTAACAATGATGATGATAGGTCACCTTTTATACTCCCGCACGGCGAAGCAAGTCTCGGTAGCTTCAGCCGTTAAACACTTGAGCCAAAGGCAACAGGGCTACTATTCCTCCCCAGTCACCTGAACGCTTGCATGTTAACACCCCCCCTCGGACGCCAGTCCGCACTGGCTGACGGGGAGGTGTCTTTAAACGCAAAGACAGGTTAAACCAAGCAACGTACTGCACACAAATCGTTATAATGCCGAATTCGAAAGATCTCGTGACAACGTTTACGAGCACCACGTTTCTCAGACATGCAACATGATCTCAAGTAAACGTTCTTGCGGTTGCAAGTTTAAGCGTAGCATCCAAAGCTTACACGGCAGGCTAGCATTTATATGATTTTGATCGCTTTCGCTTTTTATTCGCCAATACCTGCGGTAACTACAAAAGATGCACATGCACACATATTCAGCTCAACAAGCCACTGCAACACGATTGTTAAGCCGAGTTAAGAGGGGAGATGAGGGAGAGCGTAAAAGAACAGCATGCCGGTCACTGGTCGCCGTTTACGAGCGGCGCGGGCGCCTCACTGACGGGGTGCGTGCGCCCCTGGACCTCGGTAGCCCACGATGCCCCACACTAGCCGCTGTGTAGGACGACACCCTGTTAAGGGCCTGCGTCGGGCTGTAATAGTCGGTGTCCAGGTACGCGTTAATCCGCTCCTCGTCATCGAGCCAGCACCCCTCGTCAAAGCTCTTGATGGACCCGTCAACAATGTTGCGGTAGGTGCCGATGGCCCTCCAGTAACTGGCGTGGGGGGCCTTCAACAGAGGTTTACCACCTGGATTGTTGCGGAGGTGCTCCTCGACCGCAGCGCCGGTAAACGGGTTCACAGTCCAGGTCGGATCGGTAAGCCAGTTGGGGAAGTCGTCGCACGGTAACCATCCAAACCAGCAGAGCTTCTCACGATGGTCGCTTTTACGCTCGGTGATATGATCAGCAGGCCAATTGTCACGGTAAAATGCCCTCATGGACCCCTGATCGTTAAGAGCGACATCTAGGATGGTCTGGTGCCAGTAGACTGGAGGCCCGTTGATGCTGCCCTTTAACTCCTCGGCGCTCCTGACCTCGAGGTCCTCGATGAAGTAGTTGCGGTAATGCACCTGGAGCCCGTTCATGTAGCGGCAATAGAGCTTGGCCAGGTCAGGCGTCGCAAACCGAATTACGGTAACTCCAGTCGAGATGTAACCGTGCGGCCCATAAGTGTCTTCCACCAGATGCTTAACAGAGACCACAGTGGGGTTGCCGTGGGGCAGCATCCCTGCCACGTTAAGAGAAGGCCGTTAAGCTGCTTCTCGTTCATCTCCGGCACCTTGTTCACGTACACCTGCGTGTCTGGGCAACTGTGAACGTCAAACCACGATGAGTGAAGATCGTCAACGTGGAGTGGTGGCACGCATTCGTCGTCAAACAAGGACTGTACGTGCCCCACTGCGTCAACCCACTCGTCGTGCTTGGCCAACCCTTTCTCCGTCAACTGAGATCTCCAGCTGCTCGGGCCCTTCAACACGGAGTAGCCGATGAAACCGTAAGCATGTTGGCCGTATATGTCAACGAACACTTCATCGCAGTCGTTAAGCTCCCGCCCCGTGTTGCCCTGAATGGACCGACCGCCAGGAGTCGTTAATCCCGCCTTCGCCACATGCCCGACGAAGTTGCCCTCAAACCTGCGCCAGTTGTCGCGCGTCTTCATCGTTAATGCGACTACCTCCCTGGGGTTTGGTTCCGCCTTGTAGTTGACGTCGTGGTCCTCGCTCCTGTCGTTCACCATGGGCATGTGGCCGTTGACGTGGTGCAGTGGGCGGTAAACAGCCCTGGCAATGTTCCGAGAGTATGCCGCAAGCTGGTCGTTCGTGCGGTTAACAGCTTGAGGCTGCGGTGGCGGGATGTGCTGGACCGATAACTTCTTGGGCTCCGGAGGCGGGGGCTTCATGCCGCTAACGCTGCTCGATGCACTTGACTCGCCAAGGCCCGGAGGAGGCGGCTTGGGCGCCCTCACGTTCACAACAGGGGCAGGACCTTTTGGTGCTTCGTCACGTTGACTGCTCTGCGCACGATCTTCATCCATCTTCATGCCGATCTGCAGTAACTCTTCCAATTCCCGTTTACGCTCATGCATGGCCTTGGGTGCTTTCTTGTAAACAGGTTGCGGCGCCGTTGACTGAGGGATCTTATTCGGCGACATGGACCGACCGAACCCTCCGGTCTTGGGTGTGGTGCCGGTAAGGTCCTGAGCCGGGGGCGCGCCCGAGGCCGCGGAAGCTCGGGCCAGAGGCTGGCTAGCCTCGGCCGCCGCGGTGACGGCAGCGGGTGGCGCCTTGGCGATTGCTGCCGTTGGGGGCAGCTCGGGTAACGGCGGAGGCACCTGCGGGATGATGGTAACCGAGGAACTGATCGGGTCATTCAAGAACCTCTGTAAACCTTCAAGTCTCTCGGTAACTCCCACCAACATGCGCAGTGCCGCATCCCGTTTGCCCTCGAAGTCCTGCAGGGGCGCGATGTTCTCGGTAAGGCGTCTGGCGGTGTTCAGGAGGTAACCAATGTTGTCGTTGATGCGCCTGTACTTGGTCGCATTCTCCGCCGCGTTAACCCCCGAGTCACGATTCTGGATGTTCAGCTCCGTAATCGTCGCCATCAGAGCGTTAATCTCGTCTTGCGCCCTCTTGAGATTCTCGTTGACGTCGTCACTGGCGTGGATCAACGCATCGTTCTGCCGCGTTAAGTCCTCGATCCTCTGCGCCATGTCATCGGCGGCCCTTTGCACCTCGTCAACGTGTTTGTCGTAGGCCCCGTGAAAGTTAATCGCCATGTTAGTGAGGGTCACGGTAAACGCGTGGGCAACGCTGACGATGTCGTCGACACGGCGGTTGAGGTTCTCACGCGTAACCGGTCCATCCCCAGGCGGGCTCAGGTCGACCGCGGAGCCGTTGATGGTGAGGTTGACCTGATGAGCCGCCATGCTTTCGTTCACGCCCAAGAGTGAGAGGTAATGGGTGGAGATGGCTTTGATCGAGGCAGCTTGCTTGATAGGAATGAGCTGCGAGTGTCAACATTCGGTGGCCGGCGCAAGACCATGCCTGCCTGTTAATGCACATTGATTCGTGTTTCGTAGGTGTGCGTTTATGCTCTCACGACTGACATACTTGGTTAATGCATCAGCTGTGTTCTCATGTGTTCCTACATTCACAATACGGAGTACTCCCTCCTTTACCTTCTGCTGTAACCACAGTTGACACACTTCAATATGTCTCACTTTCCCCAAGCCTCGTCTGCTCGCAATGGCAATCGCAGCCGTGGCATCACTCTTCAGGGTGATCTCAACTTCCAGGTTAAAATCTCTCAGTACTGCCTGAAGTCCTAGACCAACCGATCCCCCTTTTACCAGTCCATAATATTCTGCTTCCCCTGACGATAACGCAATCACACTTTGAGTTGTGCTCCGGGACTTTATAAGATGTTTACCCCACATCACTACTCCTCCACTCGTAGACTTCCTAGTTCGCTTACATCCTGCGTAATCCGTGTCAGTCCAAATCGTTAATTCTCGGGGCTGTTCCTGATATTGGTACACGTAACTGCTTCTGCTGTGGTACTTGAAATACTTTCCTAGCTTGACCAGACCTTTCCAATAACCCATTGTTGGCTTTGACATGGTTCTAGCAAGCTCCTTCACTGAATACTGTATGTCTGATCTGTCTTGAGCTAAATAATTCGCTCTGGCCGTCAATGCCTGATACCTCTTAGTCATGTTGGGCGAAAGTTCTACCTCATCTCCCTCTTCGACTGGAATACGCTCACCTATCACTTCAGTTCTCACTTTTACTCCCTCTAGCTCAAGCTCTTTCACAATTATCTCTGCATGCCTTTGATCCGCCTCATATCTTAACCCTTCCTCAGTCCATTCGACTATCCTGTTAAGAATCCTGATCGCCTTCATGTCCTCCTTTCCTGGTCCAAGTCGTCCTCTCACTTTTACCTCAAACTCCTCCTTTATTTTATTTTCAAACCAATCGAGATCATGGTCACCTCCTAATAGCGCGAAGTCATCCCCATGGACCGTCAACCATAAGGCTCGAATCTCATGTTTGAATACGCATGGTGACGCAACTCCACTCTTAAACCCAACCTCGATAGCAAAGTCCATGTAACAGTCTTCCCAGTTGCTCGCCGCGTCCCTTGTTCCGTACATTGACTTTAATAGTTTTCCGCACATGCCTGGTTCATGATCCTCGTCTGGTAATCTGATAAATATATCTTTCTTTGCCGGAGCGTAAAAGTAAGCTCGTTTAGTGTCAATGAATGCCAACTTTAATCCTTTCTCGCGCTCGCCGTTCATGAATCCAACTCCTTCGGTAACTGCCATTGAAAAAAGCAGTTTCTGTGCCTCCAGTGGAGGTGTGGCAGCAAATATATTTCTTTCCTTGGAATTGTATTTAACCTGCTGGGCCACTAGCCTTGACCTGTGGTCTGGGCTCAACTCATCTCCTTTGTTAATGTCTATCCACCTGGTTCCGATGGGTGCCTTCCCCGTAACTTGCCAGCATACTTCCTCTTTCACTTTTTCGTAAACTTTGTGTTTTCTGAATTGTTCCATTTCTTCTTGGCGTGCCTCGATAGTCAGTTTAGGATCAAGTTCGTTTCCAGTAACATCGTCCCAGGCTTGAGTTATCTCTCCATTTTCCTTGTGAACAACGTTGATCATATTCATGGGGAGAGGGTTAACTGTGCCGATCCTTTCACACGCTGCACAGGTGCTGGGCGTCTTGAGCCAGCCCTCATGTTCACATGCACTGCATTTCCACTTGTGTGGAGCAATCTCGCCAACGGCCTCATACGTAAAGGTGGTGGAAGTGTTAACTGGT